TCAGGCCTCAGGTTACCTACTTCAGCAAATGGGCTTTAGGCCAAATGATGATCCTTGCTCTCAATGATGGCCGCTCAAGAGAAATGGTTGATTCTCTGCTAATACACATTATTTCTTATTTGCAAGGAGAGGTTAGTGGGTGGTGGTGGAGGTGGCAGAGGTGGTTATGGTGATAGTCATGATAAGATGGTGGTAGTAGAAGTGGTGAAATCATATCTTGAGAATAAAAATAATATATCTATCAAAATCTCTAAGAGGAAGCAAAGATTTTTTATGGCCTAAAATTAGTCTATTATCAAACGAAATCCACCACTTTTTGTATTTCCTTTTAAATCAATGAGTTTTTGAATACACCAAAACTTTTATAAAGTCTTTTAAAGTCGTGATTGAATACATCCAAATTTGAATAGAGTTTAAAAAGTCTGAATTGAATACACCTAGAATTAAATAGACTTCTATAAAATCGTGATTGAATACACCTAAACTTTTAAACTTCTTTAAAATCTTTTAAAATCTAAATTAAATACGCCTCTCTTTCCTTTTTCTCTGCCCCCACGTCCCCAATTTGAAGTGCCTTTGTTCTCTACTCTCTGCTCTACCCTTAGTGAAAGAGTAGAGAGAGATGATGATGTGAAGCAATGACATCAAGAAGAAGAAGAAGAGAGCTTACTTGCGTATTTTTTTCGAAAAATTGATCAACATAATCCATCCTGCCCTAAATTCGGGACATTCAAGAGAGGGCCCAGTTATGCTTCCCCAAAAGCTGTAGCCCACATTTCAGTGGGCTTCCAATTATTTTTCTTTTTAAAATTAAAAATATCACTTAAAAAAATATATACCACATTTGTAAAATACAATTTGGAATTCCGAAATTTCAACTTTACACTTATAAAAGTTTGCACAGTTGCCAATCCAATTTGCAAACCAGTTGTCTTAAGTTCGAAGTTCGAACCCCTATAACACTTTGGTAGCATGTGTGAACAATGGCGGAGCCAGGAATTTATGTGTTGGGGGGCCAACATATATTCCAAACAAGACATTAAAAAATTTCACTTTTTCAACCTTAACAATGTTTGGAAAAATTAAAGGCAGAAAATAATTGTTTATTCAATTAGGTATCAAAATAACATTCGTGTTCTTTCATATCTCGAAAACCATCTATAATTGAGTCAGTGCTAAACTTTTGAAACTTTATTTGTTTGGCTGTTTTTATTTTTTTTATTAATATATTGATGGGACATTTAAAAAACCAAAACTGGCATATGGATTCACACCCTTCAGTCAAGTGGTGAATATTATATATACTTAATTTGGAAAGAGAAACACATCTTGAGGGGGTCACAAGCAAAATTATTATATATAATTCCTAAAATCTGTAGGAATAGAGGACCAAACATCAAATATTATCAAACTTTTAAGGGGGCCCAGGCCCCTTCAGGCCTTCAAATACCTCCGCCACTGTGTGTGAATAACTCCCCTTCCCTAGTAAATTAAATTATCACTTGTATTTTTTTTTTAAAAGTTTGCAAGATTGTAATCTTATGAATTTTCAATATTGTGCAGATTTTAAGAATTCAAATTCCTTTGACACCAACTATAAAGATAAACAGTCATCAAATATAAACCAAGTAATTTAGTGCTAGAGAGATATCTACATAGTTATGTTAAACTGCATGATTTTATTCTCTAATGACCATTGGATAGTCCTTGCATTGTTACTAAAATAAAATATAAAAAATTGGTGTTCCTTAGTGTCACTAATTATTTTTTATCTTGAATAATTCAAATTTCCTAATTTGTAATTTCTGACTTGTCATCAATCCATGATCAACTGAGTAACAACATTCCATGCATGCCAAATTACATCCAATGCATCATTGTACTTGTTGGCCCAACCTCAACCCCCTACTTTGGGAACTCTGGCCAATGATGCTCGTATCTTCTCCTCCTCAAATGACAAGTCAACCAGCTTTCCTTGCAGATAGTTATCATAAGCTGGCAAATCAAAATGGCCATGTCCACACATTGCTGTGAGAATGACTTTGGCTTCTCCAGTCTCTCTACAATTCAGAGCTTCCCTAATGGTAGCAGCTATGGCATGAGTAGGCTCCGGCGCTGGTATCAATCCTTCTGATCTAGCAAATTGTATAGCACCTGCAATACAACCAAGAAGTCAGAATCATAGTCCAACTCTATCGCTTCACTAACCCACAGTTAGCTCCCACACTATGGAAAGTAAAGTTAAATTACCTTTAAAGCACTCAGTCTGGGGAATTGCAATTGCTTCCATGTAACCCAGTTCGTACACATGTGAAATCAACGGTGCCATGCCATGGTAGCGCAATCCTCCTGTTGAACAAACAGTGAATTGTAAACAAGAACAAGTAAATTTCATGAAATCAAGCTCTCAAAGACATTAACTTTCATTACCAGCATGAATTGGGTCAGGGATGAAGTCATGCCCGAGCGTATGCATCTTCATTAGTGGGGTCATCCCTGCTGTATCACCATAATCATATGTGTATACCCCTTTAGTTAGTGAAGGGCATGCTGCAGGTTCAACTGCTCTTATTACAGGGTTCATTTTCCCTTTCAGCTTCTCCCTGATGAATGGGAAACTTAGCCCTGCAAAATTGGATCCTCCGCCAGTACATCCTATGATAAAGTCTGGGGTTTCACCTATCGCCTCCATTTGTTTTAGGCACTCCTCACCTATCACTGTTTGGTGATGCAAAACATGATTGAGAACACTTCCGAGACAGTATTTAGTATCAGCATTCATGGCTGCAATCTCAACGGCTTCAGATATAGCTATTCCTAAACTTCCTGGGCTGGATGGATCCATTTGTAGTATTTTTCTACCTGCTTCGGTTAAGTTAGATGGAGATGGGTGTACCTTTGCACCCCAAGTTTGCATCATCAATCTGCGATATGGTTTTTGATCATAAGAAGCACGCACTTGCCACACCTATGAATAATCAGAATGAGTAAAATATCTAGGATTTATAATGAGGAAAACTAAAGGACGGGTCAAATTAGATATTCATACAGTTAATAGGACATAAAGTGAGTAGGCAATCATTTCATGAAGTTCATATGTGTGCTTCAATTTGTCAATATGTGAAGCCAATTACAAATTTAGGTTTCTGTTACCTCACACTCAAGACCAAATAAGCTGCATGCAAAAGCCAATGCACTTCCCCATTGACCAGCTCCTGTTTCTGTCACAACCTTCTTGATGCCTTGCTGTGCATTATACCACGCTTGTGGAACTGCAGTGTTGGGCTTGTGTGATCCAGCAGGGCTGACACCTTCATATTTGTAGTAAATTCTTGCAGGCGTGTCAAGAAGCTTCTCCAACCTCTTGGCCCTATATACAACTGAAAAGATAAGAAGATCCTAACAATTTTATAGGACAACGTTACAGCAGAAACAATGCAACGCATACTAGCACCACAAACCTAATGAGAGGGGACGGGCGCCAGAGCCTGTATACATCACGAACTTCATCTGGAATATCTATGAATCTTTCGTTGCTTGCCTCCTGCTTAATCAACTCATCAGGAAAGAGAGGAGACAAATCCTCAGGTTTTACCGGTTCAAAGGTCTTGGGATGCAATGGAGGAGGAGGTTTTACAGGAAGATCTGCAATCAGGTTGTACCATTGACGAGGGATTTCAATTGATCTTGGATCAGCATTGAGAGCTGCTCTTGCTCTACATCCATTTGAAAGTTTCAGATGCGTTGGCTTTCTATCAAGTGCAGTAAATCCAAGCCATTTCTCCTGAACTGGCCAAACATAAGTAGTTAAGACGACATAACAAGAAAGCAACACTAAAACATTGTTAATAACACAATAAACTGCTAGAGCATGGGCTGAAAATGACTTCACATTGAGTTTTAAAATGTTGATGCAGAACAATAAAAAAAATTCCAGACTCAAAAGTCATAAGTATATGATTCAACTTTTGGTAGCATATCACAATAGGTTACAACCCAAATAATGGGTTTTGGAATAAATTTTGCAAATGTTGCAGGATGAGTTGTTTTCTTAAGGAAATATCAACAACAACCTCTATAATACTTAGAAATTTTCTCTCTCCTTTGGTAGAGTAAACAAAGATCTTTATCCAGTCCACTCTTCCCCATTTCCTCTGAATCTGACAAGTACTCATACATTCCAACCACTGATCCAAAAATAAAAAAAACAGAAACAAATCCCAGGTTCCACCATATTTTTTATGAGCAACCAAGAAATTCAAAATCAGCTGAAACCCAGAACCAAAAGTTCTCCAACATGAAAAAATTAGGGAAAGAAGCTACCTTTGATGTGTGTGCCTGATGAAGGTTTTGTGTGAAGTGAATTTGCAGAGAAGAGACTGTGGGTGGCCATGCCTCGATGCTTTCTTGGAGACTCAAGCTCCTACCTAATATGAACTGATAATAAAAAAATGGAGAACTATAGGATGAAATTAATTAGGGTTTTGACTCAGAAATTCACACAAGCTGCAGTACAATATTTCCAGTTTTTCCAGGTATTGGAAATGTGCAAGGATATACTATATAGTATTGGTTCTTGTTGAAATGAAGGTGCATTGGGACAGGAATTAAATTTGACCGTTGGACACGTCATTTATGTAGTAAAACACGGTCCAGCTCCGTCTTGCAATTATATTCCGGTCCAGGCCCAAGCCCAAGCCCAAATGAGGAATTTATTTTTGGTCTGAATTCTTAATTCTTCATTTATGTGTATTTACATTTATATCCTTATGCATGCACTCACTCGCTCAGTCGAAGAAGGATTTTATACTCGCCCTGTTCGATTGACGCGTGTCAAACCAGAGCCCAACCACCTTCAGATCAGAGAGTAGTGTTTGCGAGTACGAATACGCACGTAACTGTCTATTCTCTCTCTACGTGATAGTTTGTGCAACCGACCTAACCCAAATTTGTCCATCCACGCCTCTACCCTATTTATTATTTTATTTGGCATCTCAATTTTCGTTCTACAACCGATTTTCCATTCGCTTTTCTCTCTTCCCAAACAGCTTTCTAATAAGAGCGAGAGAGAGAGAGAGAGGCGGAGAGAGAGAGGCCTTATCTGACTTTGAGGGTTAGCAGTTTGACTCAACGCCTGCCTAATTCCAAATAATAATCATCTGCTCAGGTAATTTGCCCTTTGACTTCGACGATTTCTAGGGATTTGTTGATGTCTCTGTTTTAGGGTTTTGATGGTTAATTCGCAATTTTTAATATTTCTCATCCAAATCTTAGGGCTTTTTTTGTATACAAGTTAGGGATCTTGTTTATTCTCGAATGGAAACCGTTATTTGTTATTCAGGAGATCTACTTATAAACTTTCCAGATTAAGCTGAAAAAGGAGACATCTTTTTTTCTTTTTCTCGCTCAAATTATCTAAATATATGAGATTTTCATTTAGGGGCGAATGTTTTTGGGTCCTTAATGTGAAAAAGAGTACTTCTTTTAGATCGGTTCTGCATTTACTACCCTAGGGACAGTTGACATAAAGATTAGATGAGAACTTCAGTTTTATAAACGATGTGATTGTGCTATGTGATCTTCTTGAGATACTTTTTTCAGGGAGTATGCTGATTTAGATTTTTCTTTTATGTGATCCAGGTCTAAGCATTCTGGTTGCAAGGCCCTCTTAGTCAATAGCCAAGGTTCATGTCTGAGCTCGACGTCCAAATTCCTACTGCCTTTGGTATGTTTATCCTTTATTTCTATAATTTATTCGTGTATGTTTGTATTTGTGCAGCACTTGTGTGACTCTGTATGCGAGTTTGTTCAGAGTGTGTGTTTGAAGACTTTGATACATAGATGCATAATGAATCATTTTAAGATACCAATGTTCAAGATTTCTGTGCTTGGTACACTTTAAGCAAAGGGTTATTTTTTGCATATCAACATTTAGTATCCACCTGAGGAAACCAAGCCAAACCAACCTTAATGTATCCACCTGAGGAAACCAAGCCAAACCAACTGAAATGGATAGTTTTGAGAAACTAAATGGTTTGGTTATGAACACGAAGCCATCAGACATCAGTTCAGGTGTCTGGTTTATGCACTATAAAATGTGATTTAAATGCTTGTGCCAATTCACTTGTTTTTTTAAGCATATCAGCGCCTAAGTACTAGGGCTGTTCAGCAGCCCAACTAACCTCATCCCCCTGAACAAACAGAGTCAGACTGACCTAAAATGGGCACGCTTGAGAAACTAAATATTTGGTTTGGTTACTATTTTAATGACTGAAGCCACTGGACATTGTTCAGGTGCATGGTTTATGCACTATAAAATCTGATAAAAAAATGCTGATGCTTGTGTGTAGATCCGTTTGCTGAGGCAAATGCTGAGGATTCAGGTGCTGGAACAAAAGAGTATGTGCACATTCGGATACAGCAACGAAATGGTAGGAAAAGCCTGACAACCGTGCAGGGACTGAAAAAGGAATTTAGCTACAACAAAATACTCAAAGACCTTAAGAAGGAATTTTGCTGCAATGGTACAGTTGTCCAGGACCCAGAGCAAGGGCAGGTGCGTGTTTAATTCTTAAAAGGTTAATGTAATTTTCTTCATGGCCTTCTCTAACTGATCACTAGTGTTTAATTCTTAAAAGGTTAATGTAATTTTCTTCATGGCCTTCTCTAACTGATCACTAATTTTCGCATTGTTATTCACGTGCAGGTCATTCAACTTCAAGGTGATCAAAGAAAGAATGTATCTAGTTTCCTAGTCCAGGTAAACTATCCACCGCATTATAATGATGTTAAATGTTCTGTTGGTGGGGTTGATAAATTGTGGATGTGTTTCCTTATCTATCAGATGATGTTAGCTGCCAACAATCTGGTTGAATCAAGTTCCTGATTTTATTTTTATTTTTTCTACAGGCTGGCATTGTGAAGAAGGACAATATCAAAATTCATGGTTTCTGAGCTGCAGCATTTAAATCTCTGCACAATACCGTCTACCGGTTGAGATCTAGTTATCTGAATGTTATATCACCTAAGTTTGCTATGTGCACTGTATTTTAGGAGTGTTATAATTTTCAAGAAATTGTGTGATGTGTCGTCACTATGGAATGTTTGACAAAATCTGTCTTTAATTGTTCTTATGTTGGTATTGAATTTGAAAATATATTAAAGTTCGTTTCTCCATTTGATGACTTGAATTCCACTAAACTTGTGAAACTTTAAGAGTCGTCAGATATTTAATACACAATAAAGAGAGTACACGCAAAAATGATCTGTGTTTTTGGTACCTTGACATCAATCTATCACAAAACCTTATTCCCATTTACATCGAATCTTATCAGTGTGCCTAAAATCAGATCTCCAAGCCAAACTTCCATCCATTCTTCTCAAGGAGAAACTCTCCACCATAACATAACAGCCAAACTTCCTCCACCTATTCTCACCTGTAATCTCTTCTACCCTCTCCACTCTGACGTCCATTTCATCCCCATTAACCCATCCTCCTGCCTCTAAAACCCATCTCATATTCTGAACAATTGCTGAACTCAAACCTACACTCACCACATTCTTGCTATGTGGGTTATAAGCTTTGAACCAGGCGAACCCAGTACGGCCATTCCTGTCGTCCTTCACGGCTTCTGTGGCAGATACCAAAGCCACTTCCCTTTGCACATCTACACTCACATTCACAACATTTCCTTCATTGTTAACATTCCCACGAGAGTAAATCTCTTCCCACCATTGCTCAAGAGTTATTCTGTAAAACTTGGACTTCTTCATCTGGTGTCTTATGGTTGCTTTCTCTCTCACAAATGCAAATGGACAGTACCATCTCCCCACAACACTAGAAGCCGAACGCTTTTTAAAGATGGGAAAATTGAAGTCCGGAAGACGAGACCGGAGGGAGGCGTCAAGGCCTAAAGCATCAGTTAATTGATTCCGGTACATACTTGAGCTACGCACTTTCCATCCCTTTTTCTTTAGGAATTTTGGTGGAACACCATCAGGAGCTAGAGACTCTGCAAAAAAACCACCACCTTGATAACGATGAATCTTAACTTGTTGGTATATGTCTCTAAAATTTAAAACCTTAGGTTTTTTGTCTCTCAAGAAACCTCTAATGCAGCAGTTGGTCATGTCCCTCTCTCTAGAACATCTGCATGCTTTCCTGCAAAGATTACACAACAGAATTCATCTTGGATTATAAATTAAGCAGAGGCCAAAAGTAAAGTTAAACTTTTTGAGAAGGGCTATAAGAGAAGAGCTTACCCTTTGTGCCTGCCATTTGCTCTGATAACATAGTAGCAGTTAGAAGACAGAGGTTGATCAAGAACTGGGATGAACCAGACCTTCGTCGTGGTTGCCTCTTGGTACTCGGATGTATAAACAATGGTCAGAATCTTGTCCTGTGGGAAGGGTAGTTTTTTCACTTTCCCACGCTTGCAAAGGCCCCAACAAGATGTGTCTTTTGACTCTGCCTCTTCATCTGTGATCACCATATAACCTGAATGTGGAGCATCAGGTGGCTTTATGGAAAGGGTGCTTGGAGATTTCCGGTACATGGAAAGAGGCCTTGTTACATACATCTTTGTGTGTTGGTGTGTGCGTTATTGGTCTTGGTGTGGTGTGGATGCGGGTTGGGTGAGAGCAGTGGAGAAGGGGGTTTTTTAAGCTTTCATAAAAAAAAATTTCTTATGAATTAAGAAAAGAAGCGGAGGTGTCTAAAATTATTTCATAATGCAAGTAAAGAAAATAAAGTAAATAAAGAAACTTTATGATCCACTTTCTTTTGTGCCATATTTTACATGCAACTCACTTTAAAATTTAGTGCTTTATAAGTTCTAGTCCTTTAAAGGAGATGTGGATATGTTTATAAGAGAATTACAATTATCCCATCCTTACACCAACCCTACAAAAGTGACCAGTAATTACCATATACCAGAAAAGAAGCATATCCCAAGAGATCCATGCAAGAGATAAAAAGCGCCACAACAAAAGAAACAAATAAATAAAAACCTTTAGGGCCAGCTTATTCAAACTTGTACAGATTGACTTATTTCCCTAAACATCACTGGAGGAGGCTATCAAAATTCGAGTTGTAGCCATTTTCCAATTAAGATAAACCTTATTTGGGCATACCCAAAAGTAAAATGGCAGCACCAACAACTTTCAGACTAGAGCAGCTCATGCATCTAGCTTAAGGAAGTTCTTTATTACACCCATCATCTCCCCACCAGGAAAGCGCCCAAGGCATCCCCTTGCTGCTGCAATCTCATTGAACTCATAAACTGAATCACCGCTGAAAGCTCGAGGCTGTTTGCTTCTCTCCCCTTGTTCAATCTTCGCATCTTCAGCTAGATGTTCACCATCTTTTACAGTTGGAAGAGGAAATGGATCAAGAGAACCTCCCAAGATGGTTTCCATGCCTACCGCACCCACAAAATCTTTCAACGAACATATAGTGAATGGAACTGGCTCAAAGCTGTGGTCTCCATATTCAACTGGGGTAGAGTGGTCTCCAGTGACACAAAGGAAATACTCGAAATTTCCCGTTGACTCATTCTCCCAAAGGAGCCTGGCCAGCTGCCCAATAGCTCGATCTACAGCTTCTAATGCTTTGACTTTGAAGATGGTTGCCTTGTCGTGACCTGCATCATCTATAGCCTGTAATGCAAAACAAAACAGAGATTCATTTACCGGTTATGAAGGGAAATACTCGACTGAAGTTTTGATGTCTCAATAAAATCAGTAAGCAAGTCTAGCTGGGACATAAAAATTAAGGAAGCACAGCATCCAACATTAGAAAACTACAGACAAGCAATTATTTTGTTGCCATCAGTTTACCCTGTAACTTCAGTTAAATGAATTAATAATGATGTGACTGCTTCAGTAGGCAGGAATAGAGGTTGCATGTGACAAGGTAGAAAAATGAAGAGATGTAGAATCTGAGGACGTCACTGACCTTAACATGAAGGAACCCAAAATCATAGCCATCTGATCGACCTGGTTTGTGCTCATCTTCCCCTGGTACAAACACATTGGGGCAAGACTGTAGAGGAGCTGAAAGTGCCTTAGCTATTGCAGTTGCTTTGGAAGTTAGAAGTGTTCGATAGTCTCCTGTTGCTCCAGGAGCTTCTAGGATATCAATGCCAAGAGATAGGCCCAGTCCGGCAATGATTTTTGTGGGAGCTACCATACAAGGCCATAACCCATGTTTCTTTTCAAATGGAGGAACCTGAAATATGTAATTGAGAAAAGAAAAACTATAGACATAAATGTATATTCAGAACCATTTGTTGCCTAATTCCCAAACAAACATAAGAAAAAGGGTTGAGGTCTTGTAAGACCAACATTTGGCTTAGGCCCAAGGTTATTCTTTTTGGTTGGAGATCTCTTAGGCCTTCAATATCCTATCAAAAACAGACATCCCTACAATGATATGTGCAGTAACTTTCAGGATACATTACTAAAACAACAAGTTTTGAGAAGTTTAAGAATTGCCTGTGACCTTTTTTAACCCCCAATGTCCAACAGTTTTTGTTTTGCTCAAAAGAACAATTATAAGAAGTTTACCATAGAAAAATACTGAAGTATCAGAAGGGTAAAGCTAAAAAACCAACCCCAGAACAAAATCAGGATTATGAATATAAACAGTAAAAATTCTAAAGGAGGGCTATTCCTGCACTTAGTGGCTGTCTGACCCACTAATAACAGCAGAGAAAGGTGTATGCAACAGCCAACAGGTTAGATGCTTGCTTGCATATAGTTCGCTAAGTAAAAGTTCTACATGATGCAATATGAACATCAAGTAAGGTTTGAGACAACAGACCTCAATTCGAATACCACATCCTCGTAAAAGGACAAGATTAGCTATGTTCTTCCCTTCAGCAGCTCGTTTTGCATTCAGTGGATGAGCAACGAGAATACGTGATATTTCCTTGGATAACTCATTAACAACTTTAGCTGTGTGCTTCGCCTCATCAGTGCCGTCGAGAGCTTCAGCTTGCAAAAGTAAACGGTTGTCCTTCAACGGGTCTGTTCCTGATATATTTCCACTTAGACTTGGTCCTTTAACAACCACTCCACATCTATGTTCTGTTGCATACCTGTAGCAAATAATCCTTCGTTAGTTTTACTCTACTTCATTATAAAAATTACAAGGCTTAAGCATTAGAAAAATAATTAAGGTATTTGGTAATTTTGATGACTAGTGAACTTTCTTGCATAAGGGAGGTTGTGTTTTAAAATATCTCATCGCCCAGCAAAAGAGATACATACAAGGACATCAAATAAGAAGCCAATTTACAGCAGTTATAATAAACATCCGCACCTGACTCTGACTTCATATTCAGGAAAAGATGGCAGTTTCATTCCATCAAGTGCTGCACACAGTATGGGCCCTTCTTCTTCAAAGTGCCTGTCAGCCCTCCTACTGATGACTATTCCAGTTTTTTCATCCAAGGTTGCAAAATTAGACTAAAGATCAAAAGTTAGCAAAGATTATTATATGGAACAGCGTCGTCTACTAGAACAAGCATAACCTGAAGGATATAGCATCAATAGCAAGTAACATATGGTCCAAAATGATATAGTCGTCCTTTATGCTAATATGTCAGCTAAATTTTCTTCAACTGAATCGGGGCCAATAACCATTAACTCCCAAGTTTCTGTATATAAGAACGAAATAATTGCATCTTATGGCAGTGCAACAATTGAAACTGCTCATCCAGGATAATAGTAATAACAGAGAAACCATTTTACAAAGAAATAAACAAAAACTCACCTTAAATGCAATATCACCAGGTGACATTGCCAATCCAGCACCCATGGACTCAAATGCGCCTCGGCCTCGGTAATATACCCTAGGGTCATAACCCAATAGAGAAAGGTGAGCTGTGTCACTTCCACAACCCAAACCAACTTCAACAGGGTCCATTAGACCATTAACTCCAGCGGATGCTATGGCATCCAAATTGGGTACTTTGGCCGCCTGAAGAGGAGTCTTAAATCCAAACTTCGGTATTGACACATCACCCACACCATCAATCAACAAAAAGGCCACTCTTCTTTTTGGCTGCTGAGGATTACCCATGTATGCTAATATCCTAGAACATAGTTGCCTAATTCGCTCACCCCCCACCGAATTTCGATCTGGAACGAAAGATTTAACGACTCAGCTCCAGAGGCTAGAACAGTACCTGA